TTAGACTTCACATTATCACACATGGTGTTTAGAAACCACAATTCCCCAAAGGTGGGGAACTGCTCTCTGCTGTAATAAGTCACCTGGATTGGATGATTAGGTTGAGTTAAGCCTTAGATAACTAATAACTGTCCCTATTTTCTTATGTGAGGAGGATTCAATAGTATATCAGAGTGTAACTTGTCAAATGTGTGGATTAATAATAATTATGATTATAATAATTATGAATGTTGGTATATAATAGCAGTAATGGGGAACGCCAAGATTTTGAGATAAGCACACCCAGAGAAGAATCAAGGCGAGCTCTCCCTCTTTTCTAGGCTGAGCAGGTTCCTGACTGTAACCAGTTTCCAGTTCCTAGGACTGTAAGCATGTGAAGGTCAGAGGTAGGGTTATTGGTTTAAGAGATTTTTCTTGGTCTTGAGACACAGATAGCATTAAGGGCAATGACATTTATCCTTCTAGGGCCATGGTCGGCAAACTGCGGCCAAACATGTGGCTCTTTGGCCCCCTGAGTGTGGCTCTGCCTAAGCCTTAGGAATACCCTAATTAAGTTAATAACAATGGACCTATCTGTATAGTTTAAGTTTAAAAAATTTGGCTCTCAAAAGAAATTTCAATCGTTGTACTGTTGATATTTGGCTCTGTTGACTAATGAGTTTGCTGACCATTGTTCTAGGGTGAGATAGGCCAAGATTAAGAAGAGCCAAAGAACTTATATGCATATATGCATAGACCATGGATACAGAAATAGTGTGGCGAAGGCTGGGGTGGGGTGGGAGCCAGGAGGAGGGCAAAGGGGAGGAAATGGGGACATCTGTAATACTCTCAACAATAAAAATAAATTTAAAATGGTAAAAAAAATAATTAAGAAAGAAAAAAGAAAGAATTTGTTGTTTTTCATTAGTAGCTTGAAACTGTACTTGCCCTATGGTAGCACCTGCTCTTTGGAGTCTAAGAGAATTCCCAAGGCCCACAGTCAGGAAACTGGAAGAAGTCTGCACTTACCCACACCAGTTCAAGATGGAATAAAAATACACTTGCTCTGTGGAATCTTGCCTGTAGAACATACTTACGTGAGAAAGAAAACTTTTTGCTGGTGAAAACTATTAGCTCATTTTCATTTTAGGCTTGTTCTAAAGAGAATTGGTGAAGTTGTATAAAATACGGAAGGAAAGGGAAGATGATGTAAAATCAGAATTGGAGTGTAATAGCTCTTGAATTAGAAAATTTCTATTCTCCGTGGTATATTTAACTCTGGTCCACAGAATTCATTCCAGGAGTCCCATCTTAGCTTTTCTATTTCTGCACTTAAGCAAGATAAAAGGCGTTGATATTATTCTCTTGGGTTGCCAGGATTCCTGAGCACTTTAGAAAGTGGAATTAGTCAGTTTCATGCCTGGCTAATGCTGAGGTTGGATTTGGCTGCAGTACTCGAATGTCACCCAGACAAGCAGATTCAGGTAAAGCTCCAAAAATAACATTGGTGAAATAAGATTATTTTTTAAAAATCATGTGTTGAATAATAAAATGTTTTCTATTGATTTGAAAAATATGTATCTATTTATACAATGCCAACAAAATTGATTTTGTTATGTAAAAAAATACAATAAAATAAAAACACCCCAAATGACAACCTAAAAAAAAAAAGACATTGAAACTGGACAGCATTTCAGGCAGTTGGAAACTGATTTATCAAATCTCAGTTTTGTGCAGAGGTTCAGGTTAGTTCATAAAGTGCTATAAATATTTCTTGGATCACATGGATCTCTCTCTCTCTCTCTCTCTCTCTTTCTCTCTTCAAAACATCCTGCATGATGACTAAAGTCTTCGCTAATGGAGTGCTGGCTTTATTATTTACACCTGTCTTATCCATTGATCCTCTCAACAATATACAGTAGACATGCAGCAAGTGTTTCACAATAGAAATAAGAATGGCCTTCTGGGTGGTGTGGCTCAGTCATTGAGTGATGACCCAAGAACCGAGAGGTCACTGATTCAATTCCTTGTCACGGCACATGCCTGGGTTTCTGGCTCCGTCCCCAGCATACAGGAGGCAACCCATCGATGATGTTTCTCTCTCATCGATGTTTCTATCTCGCTATACCTCCCCCTTCCACTCTCTCTAAAAAATCAATAAAAACATTTTAAAAAAAGAAGAAGAAGAAGAATGGCCTGGCTACAATTGAATTCAGCTATATTTTTCTCATGACTTTTTTTTTAAAATAATTTTTTAAATTATAAAAGATACTATAACACAACATTTATGGAAGGAGAAGAGGGAACCACATAGAAGAGAACATGTAGGTATTGATCACAGCAACATAGTTATCTATTTATCAGCTCTGTGAAGAAGATTGAATACATCTGCATTAAAATTTTTTTGCATAAAAAAAGAAGAAAATCTTAAACAGTATAATTATGTATCTGTGATATGTCTCATAACCTGGAGAACCAGTGGTGTCTAGATACATAACCAAATTACAAAGGAGGTAATGATAAGACATCCATTTGTACGTGAAGGCATACAGAGATGTAACATTGCTACCATGTATTGAGTAATTACTATGTGCCAGGCATTGTGCAATGCACTCTATTTACGTTCTCTCTAATTCCTAAAACAACCATAGGAGGGAGATATTCCAGTTTACCCAGGAGAAAACAAAGATGAAGTGGCTAGCCCAGTGGTTTCAGCCTTCCTAATGCCGCAACCCTTTAATACAGTTCCTCATGTTGTGGTGACCCCCAATCATAAAATTATTTTTGTTGATACTTCATAACTGTAATTTTGCTACTGTTATGAATTGTAATGTAAATATCTGATATGCAGGGTGTATTTTCATTGTTACAAATTGAACATAAAGCATAGCGATTAATCACAAAAACAATATGTAATTATATATGTGTTTTCCGATGGTCTTAGGTGATCCCTGTGAAAGGGTCATTCGACCCACAGGTTGAGAACCGCTGGGCTAGCCCAAGGCCATTACAGTTAGTGTCACAGCTGGGATTGGAGATTCCTTGTCTGTGAGAGGGCAGGGGGCAGATGAGTTTGGATTTAATCCTCTTAGAGTGCATATCTAGCCTGAAGTTGGTCTAGCTTGGCATTTCCTGTCCCTCAGCTTGTGTAAGCAATTCCAGAAGCTGGGAGTTTCTGGTACTGACTTTGGATTTATATATGTGGCATATATAAACCTATTGGACCTGAACCTATTGGAGGCATAGACTCTGGTGGCAGGGGGCAGGGTTGGGGGAAGTGTTAAGCTATTTTTCATTATTTCATATGCCTACAAATATATGTGGGTCAAATAGTTGCACAGGTCATTAAAACTAGGTAGTGCTTTCTTTTGGCTGGGACAATACAAGATCAATTTAGACCTCATCTAAACTCTGACTCAAAATTCTGACTTGTGCTTATGTGTAGCTGACTAAAAGTTATGGGATAATGACTACTTAATGGCTGTGGTTGATTTAGAAAACTTTCAAAGCATAGAGAACTAATGATAATCTAAAACAGGCTTGATGGTGAAAAGATTGGGCAATAATGAATGGCCTAGAGTGACGGTGAAGTTCTCAATGCAGCCCCCATCTCCCATTGCTGGCCCCAGAGCCACCCAGGTCTCTAGAGAAGCAGGCAGCTATCATGGTGCTTTTTGACCTAGCAACAATGCCTTCAAGTCCCTCTGATTTATAACAGATGACATGTATTGAGCACATGCTGTGTGCAAGCAGTTTTACCTGTATTCTCACTCTTAAATTTTCTGTTATAGAAAATTTCAAATCAGAGGTGGATGGAATGCCCATGCCTCAACTTGAGCAATTATCAACTTAGGGCCAATGTCTTTGCTCCAATACCTTACCCCCAGGTGATTCTGAAGTAAACTGCAGACATCGTATCATTATTTGTGAGCATTTCAGAATGTATTTTGAAAGATAAGCATTCTTTTTAAAATATATTTTTATTGATTTCAGAGAACAAGGGAGAGGGATAGAGAGATAGAAACATCAATGATGAGAGGGAACCATTGATCAGCTGCCTCCTGCATGCCCCACACTGGGGATCGAGCCTGAAACCTGGGCATGTGCTTTGAGCGGGAATCAAACCCATGACCTCCTGGTTCATAGGTCGACACTCAATCACTGAGCCACACCAGCTGAGCAGATAAAGACTCTTTTATGATAATTCTTTAAACATCACAGCCATCCTGTCAGTCAGATACCATTATATCCTTATTTTATAGATGGAAATAATGAGACACCAGGAGGTTAAAATATGTGCCCAAGGTCCCCAACTTGTCAGTGGCGGAGTCAGGATTCAAATCCAAGTTGCCTATCTCCTCAGCCCATCCTGTTAACTACTAGGTGGTTGCAACCAACCCCTCTGCTGTCACCGATCCTCCAGGGTGGAATCAGACCTTGGAGATAGAAGTGCACACTACCAGAAACACGACTGTTGATTTCTGTGAATTCAACCACCGGACCATTGCAGGCAATTGGTCTGTTTAGGTCCATAGGTGCAGAATGACTGTGAAAGGCTCGGAATTGTCATCTCCAAGAGTGAAAGCCTGAAATATTAGTGGATCCTCACTGGACAGCAAAACTGGTAAAGTAACATGATTCTGAGAGTGTTTGAAATGTTGGGGAAGCCCACAATGAAAAGGACTCAACGGAAAATATGACAGTCACTGGGCTTGACAGCCAAGGGACCCAGGAAAAAGCTTCTTTTAAAATGAATTTCCCTTTGGTTTTCTCTCTTGGCAGAAGGAATCAAAGTCGTCCCACTGAGTCTTTTCAGTTTGTTTCAAGCGCGGCTAATTGTGTTTGTTTGCCTCCCAAGTCACATGTCTGCCTCCTCTCCCTTGCCTTTCCTAAGCTCTCTTGTCTGTGTGTATGCTGTGGCTGCCAAAGGCGTTCTCCTCACCTGGGACCCAGTTGGCTGACAACACAGAGTACACAGAGTAGATGGTGAGAGGCCAACTCTGTCTCTCTCAGAGGTCTGACCTGGCCTCTGGTGTCCTACCCACCTCGGCGGGGAGGGGAGAGGGAGAGAGAGAGAGAGAGATTGATTATATAATCTGGCTGTGAAACGAACCATGTCATTTGCCTTGTATGTGCCCACTTGGGGTTAAGAACAAAGCAGAAAGTAAGTGAATACTATTGGTTGATTCAGAGAGCTTTGCTAGTTCAAGTTCAAGAAACTGAGTCTCCCTTTTCCCTGTTGAAACAAACATGACATTGACTTGTCTGGTTAGCATTTTCCTTTGTCTTGGGGATCACTAACATTGGTTTGCTTCTCAACCCTTGGTCTCTTTTCCTTCCCCCTCCTCCACACAGTCCCACCACAGAAGCCATATGGCTGCTGGAGAGCGATCCAGCTCCTTAGCCTCTAGCCCAGGGGTCCTCAAACTTTTTAAACAGGGGGCCAGTTCACTGTCCCTCAGACCGTTGGAGGGCTGGACTATAGTTTAAAAAAAAACTATGAACAAATTCCTATGCACACAGCCGTGGCAAAAACACCCGACGGGCCGGATAAATGTTTTCGGTGGGCCGCATGTGGCCTGCAGGCTGTAGTTTGCGGACCCCTGCTAGCCCATGGAACAATGAAAGTTGGTGCTTGTTGAGATGCTGTTGAGTCGAAACCGGTTTGGCTCAGTGGATAGAGCGTCAGCCTGCAGACTGAGGGGTCCCGGGTTCGATTCCGGTCAAGGGCATGTGCCTTGGTTGCGGGCACATCCCCAGTGGGAGGTGTGCAGGAGGCAGCTGGTCGATGTTTCTGACTCTCTATCTCTCTCCCTTCCTCTCTGTAAAAAATCAATAAAATATATTTTTTTAAAAAAAGATGCTGTTGAGGTGCTTTTCAGAAAGAGCTTGTCCTTATCCTTTTTCCTCAGCCCTTGTCCTTTTTCTGGGATTGTTTTTTTAATACATTTATTGTAAATATTTCAGAATATTTTTTTTTTATGATTGATGTGACTTCCACTCTTTTAAAAAGTAGGGGGGATGCCAAAACCAGTTTGGCTCGGTGGATAGAGCGTCGGCCTGTGGACTGAAAGGTTCCAGGTTCGATACCGGTCAAGGGCATGTGCCTCGGTTGCGGGCACATCCCCAGTGGGAGGTGTGCAGGAGGCAGCTGGTCGATGTTTCTGACTCTCTATCCCTCTCCCTTCCACTCTGTAAAAAAATCAATGAAAATATATTTTTTAAAAAAGGTGGGGGGGGTGGTAACAGCGGGTTGCAAGTTGCTTAGCTCTCCACAATAGATTTTGCTCAGGGATGGCACATATCTGGCTCCATGCCCAGCTCTCTCCTGAGCCTGGTGCCCCTGAGAGCCTGTGGTAGACATGGTGCATCCATCACAGCACCTCTTCCTCTGAGCTCACCCCAGGCCTGGAATGCCTCTCAGTATGGGACTCCAGGAAGCCCTTATCAACCAGGTTGGCAGGAGGGTTGAAATCCATTTGCT